GGAACAAATCTTGGGAGCCAAAGCTGGTCGGTTGAACAGTCAATTTATGTCAGCGTTGGGTAGTTGTTTAATGGACTGGGGTGTGTTTATTTGGCCAGATTTAAAGCAGTGGAGGGAGCTTGGTTTGCCCCTAATTAACATTATGTTGATAACACTGGGATCAGCTGAGTACACTGAACATCTGGGTCCCTCCTGTTTGGTGTTCTCTGTTGGGTGGCTGCTGAACAAATCCCTGAGGAGGCAGAGTATGGGTTTACTGAGTGGGCTGATACATTTCAACTGTAATTACTGTGTTTCTTTCTTTGGATACTTCCTAAAATCTCCTTTAAATGAAACTCGAAGTGAGGTCTAATCAAACATAAGGCACATTGATTTTTCCCTTTGTTGGCTTTTTGCCTTTCTGACTCAGTAATTCCAGTCCATCAGACTGGAAGTCTTTTTCTGACTGTTGTGATGTGGTGCTTTCTATGGGCAAAGTTCAGACCCTTCAGGCCTTGAGGATAATATTTAATGACACTGGTAATGTTTGCAGTTTTCTATGAAAAGTATGCAAACACTGCCATTGTACAGGAAAATCTTCTACACAAAAACAAGCAGCTTCAGCAGGTGACAAACTCACAGCAGCTGTGGGCAACAGGATCCTCCTCTCCTCGTGTATTCTAACAATTCCAGACTTTTCCTGTTGATTTTCACTTCAGAACAAGTCTCAAGAAATGCAACTTTGAGACAAAACCCTTGCCAAAACCACGACTGTCTTCTACATCTTCCTCTGGCTGCACTGCGGGTTTTTCTGTCATCCTTGTTTTCAGTTCCTGCCCGTTCCTCAGTTTCTGCAGTGCTGCTCTTGCCCAGTCAGGGAGTGGGGAGGAAGGAAAACAAAATCCAGGATGCTTTTGTGTTCAGACACAGCATTGCTCATTTGTGGGTTGCACTGGTTTCTCCTCTGTCAAAGTCTGAGGTGCTTGTTGGTACCAAAAAAAGTTAAATTTCTCAGAGAAATTATCCATTGGCTTAGGGCTTGCCACTGTGCTTTAAAAATACAGGAAAGTGTAAATTCTGGTTGTATTTTCATGTTGGTGGCAGCTGCCTCAGAGAATAAAACATTGGAGTTAACTGAAATGCATTAACAAATGTCCAGTCTTAAGCTAAAACTCATTAAAGGCACTGGAATGACATTTCTAGGAAGATAATTGTACGTGTGAGGTTCAGTTAATTACAAATTAGCATAGTTTGTGACTTGAGGATGAGAGTTGTTGGTAAAGTTTGCACCAAAGATTTTAGCAATGTGGATCAAGGACAGATAAATTGTAAGATCAGATCTCCCAAAGGGACCTGTAGTTATCTGGGCTCACACAAGGCTTAGTAAAAGAAGAAATACAAATTAATTTCCAAAAATGTAATTGCTGCACTTACTTTCATTTGGCAGCTTGGTGGTTGCTGCTTTTAAGTGTCTGTAGGACTTGATTATGGTGAGAGTAAAATTGTTCCTTTTGTTGTTATCTGAGTTAGATAAGTTAAAATCAGCCTGTTGCTATATCCAGGGAATGAGCTTGTTGGAGAACAGGCTCTGAATTCAGGCCAGGAGCCCCTGGGGATGGTGTCCCATGGGATGGTGTCCCAAGGGATGGTACTGCAGGGATTGACCTGCTCGTTGGCAGTGGGAGCAGCGCGGTGGCACTGATTGTTTGATGCTTCTGGAATTTAATCAGGTCATTGTTGGTATTCTACATATCTAGAATTTTCATGATATTCATAAATAATCTGTATTTGAATTACCGGGTTATGTCAGCGTTGGTATTAAGGCCTCCAGTGACTTAACTGTGACTTCAGTGGCCTTAGCTGAGCAAACCCTAGACACAAATCATCAAAATCAGAGCCCACAGGGAGCCTCCTTGGTAAATTGAGAAGGAGCTTGTACCTATGGAGGGGCTCATGGTGGCACAGCTCTTCATACACATCCTTCTTACAGAACCCCAAGCTCAGCAGTAGCAGTGAGCTGTTGTTCCAGCTGGGAGCAGGGTTGTGTGTTTTCTTGCGAAGTGGGTCAGAAGCAAATTCATCTGCTTTTATTGCAGCCTCTGCCTTGCCAATTTTGCTTTGCATTCCCAGCCATGGCTCTTAACCTGAGGAACTCAGAACGTTTTTCTTAGCAGAGATTTAGTGTGCAGAAAACTGCAACGCAGCTCTAAACAGCTGGAGGATAATATATTTTGGTTCAAAACAGCCCCTGCAAGAGTATTCCCTGGGATGGCTCTGTGTGTGTGTAAAATCTGTCATGGGAGCATGGCAGGGCTGAGCATTCCATCCCCATGGTCCCTCTGTGATTTGAGACTGTTCCTGTTTGAGACAAAAGTTCCCATCAGATTCCCTGCTTGGACTCCTGAAGGAGCTGGAAAAACCATTTCCGTCTAGAAGCAATAATAGCTTGGGCTGTTGGTTTTGATCACAAACTGACATTTAAAAGTCATCTGAGGAAAGATGCTTCTTGATTAAAGGCAGGTTTTGCTTAATGCAGTCATAGCTGATCTCTCCCATCTGGTATCATGTACTTGATGGGATCTCTTTCCCTTGCCTGGGGTCCAGTTCACAAGATCCCGCAGGAGTTCCTGACTTTCCCAAGAGACCTTCCAGTGGATCAGCTCATTCTGTTACCCCGGTCATTGCTCCGCTTTTCTTTTCCCTGGGGAAAACTTGGGGAAGTTGCTCAGCAGAGAAGATGAGGTGGTAATGTGGCATCCAGAAGTGTTTGGAATCGCAGTTCTGCCTTTGCTCACCGTGTGCCTGGTGTTTGTTACATCCCAGATCCCCACATTTTACCTGTGGGATTCAGACATTACGTTCTACGTGTGGAATATAAAAGGCAGATCGTGCAGCTGCGTTTCTCGGGGTTTATTCCCTGAATTGTCAGTGTTTAAGGTCACTGCTTAATCCTGGGTGCTTCACTTCCTGCTCCCATGGGGTGGTTGCTGTAAGGAGCTGTCCTGAGGTGGGACCAGAGCCGAGATCCTCACACGGATCCGGGCCTGGAGCAGCTGTCAGGGCTCAGGTTTTAGTGAGGAGAGATGTAGGTATTTGTGGTTTGGCTTTTTGTGTGTTTTGTGGATTGCTAAAATATGACCTTTCCCGCTAAAAGGCTGGATTTTATCCCAAATCCTGTGGATTTCACACAGGATCGGATTCTCCCGACATTGAGGTTGATGGTGTTTCCAGAAGGCAGAGAATACCCACCCTCTGTGTGCAGAGCTCACCTCTCCCAGGTACAGGGGAGCTTTGCCACAGAAAATCACACACCGGGATTTTCCTGGAAACAGTTGCCTCTGTTTTCCATATGACATAAATACCACCCACCTGGTCATGGCAGGTACACAGGAACTCCCAAAAAAACCCCTGGGAGTGTTTCACAGTGTTTGGGTTTGTAACTCTTATCTTGTTCCTCTGATCTATTTTCTCTGGTGATTCCAAAAGTCTCGGGATGGGCGGATGAAGGTGAAACATGACTCAGTTCTTAGCTATGGATACTTGGGATCTCCTGTAAATGAGGAACACAAGAGCTGAGTTCCAGAGAGAAGCTAATCCTGCATTTCTAGTATTGGCAGCCTGGAGCTACAGAGATCAGTAGATCCTCCCAGGCAAATGAGGGCTTGTAATGGATATGAGACATGGGAGAAGGAAAGCCTGGAAAACTTGGTTTATATTGTTATCAGAGGGGCATAATTCCCCAGGGAGTAAAACTGGAAGAGGATCCCTGCTCTGCTGGGCAAGTGACCCTTGATCAGCCACTTTCACAGTGTCACTGTCCTGCTCCGCATCGTCCCTTCCGTGTCCTTGTTCCCAGGATAGATCCTGGTTGTTATCCCCACAGTAAATACAGTACTGGATGCTGGGTAGAAATTAAAACTGGCAAATTCCATGTGTTTTATGTCATTTGGCACATTGTGCACAGCCCCCCTTCAGCTTGTCATAAATTCCTAACCCAGAGCAAGGTCACATCTGGGAGCGATTTCCCTCTGCCAGATGAGGCGTAATCCCATAAAACCGGACTCATTCTCTCCAGCGCCGCTCCACGACCGGCTCTCCTGCTCCTTTTCCTACAGACCTGCCCCGGGAGCCCTGTGGGATGATTCAGGCTGAGAGACTTTTCACACTTTATAAACTGCAAGTTTTGGAGCACAGCTCTGTGTCCAGTGCATGAGGCAGGACGAGCAGGGCACAGCTCTGGAGTCTGCACGACAACAGGCTCTGGCTCCGTCCTGTTTCCTTTTCCAGCAGCACATTCCCTGCAGGATGTTGTGTTGTTCCTTAGTGTTTGGTGTCTGTGCATCCCCTCATACTCTGAGTAACTTGTCACCTACAGAATCCATATGGAGCTACAAGTCTGCTCTTCTTTTATGTGCTTTTAAACCAGTTCTAGCAAAAGTTCTGAGTCTTGAGTAATTCAAGATACACATTCTGAACACTGTCAAATATCAGAGGGACTGACAAAAGAATGGAGCAACAATCAACCTTTGCATGTTGTAGTAACTGGAAATAATTCCCAATAACATGGAAGTTTAATAGGAGTCAGTGGTTTTATGTTTGATCACGTTTCCATTATCCCATATTTTGGTAGCTGTGGTTATTTTGGTGTCTCATTGCCTTTATTACTTTGTGCTTCCAAAACTATCTGTGGAGCTTGGTGATCTCCAGCCAGTGTTCCAGTCGGGTTCCTTCCCTCACAGAGGGGAGGAGGTGAAATGGGGATGCATTATAATGTCTTATTAAATGCAATTAACAGAACTTAGTTTAAAAAAAAAAGTTCAGGGTTTCCTGGGTCTTGCACAAGGAGCTCTAAAGAAAAAAAAAACAGGTCAGAATTTTAAACAGTCAGTATTGTTACTCTTAACTATTAATGTTAATCATCACACAAGCTCATGAAACCCACTGGGACTGGGGAGCACTGGCTGGAAACCACCTCATCTGCTGTGATTTTTGTAACCCAGTTTGAGCCTTTTTATTCACAGGCCAAGTATCCTGAGGTCGTGACCCTTCCAGAAGGACTGCAGGGAGATCATATCATTCTGAGGAACCCCAAAGTTCCTGGGTAAGCCAATAAATTTATCTCTTGATTGATACAGCCCAGGGATTGCACAGGCAGGGCAGGAGGTGCAGGGATCCCAGTCACATCCCAGCAAAGCCCAGTTCCTTGCTGTCTTGCCATTAAAGAACAGAAAGAAAATGGCAGTTACCATGTAACTGGAAGCAACTGTGGCTACACTTTTCCATTGTTTTAGAAGGAAATCTGTTAGATGAGGGAATTACTACTCTACCAGGCTTGTGGGATTTGGGCTCCCTGTGGGATGTGTTCCAGCAGGTTTGGGGTTTTCAATAGAGAAAAAAATCTTTGAAGTTACATGTAAAACAATATAACTATCACTGTCAGGAATTCTGTCAGGGCCAAGAAAAATAACTATTTTGTGAAGGGATCAGACCATTCCCTTCTCCTCTTACATCCTGCTATAACATGCTTTAATTTATATGGAAACAACTGGAATTTGAGCACAGCTCCCTCTGTGACATTTCCGTGTGGAACTAGCAAATAAACCCTAAGAGATGGTGCTGTCCTGGTTCAGCCAAACCTGCCATTTAAAACTAAATGCTTTAACTGTGGGTTGTTGGAATGAATTGTTCTCAGACCATCAGGGTTAGGGAATAACCTGCTTTGTTTAACAGTTTCTAGGTCACCAGGTGGCAGTTCCATTACACACACTCCCACTGACCCACAGTCATGAAACACAAGAACTTCCAAGTCATTTCAGTGGGTTGGTAGAAACCAGACTGGCATAAGAATTTGTTTGCAAAATTCCAGGACAAGCTGTGCACAAATTCCCAAAGGATTTGTAACAATCAAGGGGCAAAAGGCTGACAAATCACATTTGAAGGGAATTTTTACAGTTGTTATGGGGGGGTCAAATGTCATTGAGAAAGGGGAGCTTCCTCCCCACAGTGACTTGTGCAGATCAGCTTTGGATCAGGAAAGCCTTACCTTCCATAAGGAATTCTAGGCTTGGAGGGGAATAAAGATGAGGTAAAGAAGAAGGGCTCTTATAAAGCAGGAGATCTGCTCTGGATGTTGTTCCAGACCAACCTCCTGCCTCACTATTGCCTTGGGATGGTGCAGTGATCTTGTCCCACTGCAGTAGCTGGGAATCATGACTGGCCTTGCAAAAAAACCCAAACCCATTCTGGCAGGAGTGGTGATGGTTGAGATTATTTATTTTTTTAAAGATAAAAGCAAAAAATGCAGGAATGCAGGCTTTGGGCAGATGTTTGCCTGTGCATTATTCTAAGACAACCATGAACAATATCAGGGTGACCCTTATTCCAAACCCAGCACATCACCATTTATCAAACACTTCTGGAACAACATTCCTGTGCTTATCCTGTGTCTGAGCTCAGCACCTGACCCTGGGTGAAGATGTTACAGGAGGGGCTGGGCCAGGGGACACTCAGTGCTCTGCTTTGCCTTCCTCTCTTACTCTGCCCCACTGTACTGTGCAAACAAACCATTCATAAGAGACAAAGACAGTAACCAGGATTAAAAATCCTTGAGGCTGAAAGCTTGGAGGGACCCAGAAGCCTTCCTTGTCAGCATCTTACTGGTTTTCCTCAGTTAATTAAATGCTCCTCGTTCCCGAACCCAGAGATGGGTGAGTTGGATTACACGAGGTGAGTTTTGTTGGAGAGCAGGAGCAGGAGCCTCTCAAATGCTGCAGCTTCTGCTTTGGAGGAACCCCAGAACCAGTGCCCTGGTTAACCCTGGACTGACCTTCCTGTGCTCCCGGTACAGGTTTGAATTGATGATTGTTTGGAAGATCCATCTGGATGAAGAAGGGACAACTACACCTGTCCTGGACCTGCTGACCAAAGTCCCAGAGCAAGGTAACATCAGTCACTTCAGGGGCTGTTCTAAGCCACCAGGCAGAACACCAGGCCCTGTTTTGGGCCAGCATCCCTTTAGAGAACACGGAAATCCCCCTCACAGAGCCCAGCCAGGCAAACAAACCCCCCCTGAGCAGCAGCTGCACTTCACCCCCCGTGTGATTTCCAAGGTTGCACCCCATGTCTGTGTGCAGGTGCTTCACCCCCTGCCAGCACTTGGTTCAGCTCTGGGAAAATAACCTTCCCTGTTGTGTGTTTCCTGCAGTCCTGGAGCAGAAGATGACAAGAGTTGAGAGTGTCCCCGCCCGCTTCCGGAGCATGGTGCTGCTCCTGGGCATCGAGGCAGCCTTGGAGAACCTGGTCAAGGTGCTTGAATGAATGCCAGCATTACTTACAGCAGGTAGCAATTTCAAAAGTAGTTTTAATTAAGATATTGTGTTACACAGTCTATAATTTTATTGAATATAAACATTAAGTTATTTTCCATTTAGAAACCATACTCATAAAACATGCTATCTGTACAATTATGGCACGTTATATATAAATCGTCATGACATGAAAATAAATACAGCCATTTAAATACAAAAATGCCAAATAAAATAGTTACATGTACAGAGTGATTTCATTATAAATTTATCTTTCTGAATCATTAATGTACCAGAGTGGTTTATCTTCTTAACATTTTCTAGATACCTGGAAATTGTTAAAAGATCATGCACTGTCAAAATCAAGTCCTTAAAAATCCATTTCATTTCACAGCTCTGTAAAAGTACAGTGATTTTAAAATGACAAGAGAACAGTAAGAGACTCCTAGAACAAAGAGTTAAACAGCTTTCTCCTTAAATTAGGGTGGAAGAAGAGAATGTGAAGATTTCAAAGACATACAATGGTAAAAAACCCCAAGTGTAACTGTCTGAAGTAACTTTGTTCCACAGTGGAAGTGTTGAGACAGCTTCAACTACCCCAGAGAGGCCCCATTACCCTCCTGGGAAGGGGTGGGTGAGTTGCCTCCTGCCCACTGCAGCAATTCCTGCTTCCAGGGGGAAATTCTGGGAGGTAACATGTTACCAAAGCATCATATGTCATACATTCATCCCTGAAGAAACAAAATGGATCAGACAGATGTCTTGCCTCTCCCTTCACTTCCATCAGATGTGCCATCAGCCCATGTGGTAACTCTCTGTGTTTTCCAAGAGTTCCTGCTCTCTCCATCCCAACCAAACGACCGTATCCACCCCAAACTGATACAACTGAAGTCAGGTCCTTCTTGGGGAGGGAGTAACAGTTCCTGGAACCAAGGGCCCAAACCCACAAACTCTGGGCTCTCAAGTGACAGTAAGAGACTCCTTTCCAAGGCCAGAGCTGCTGGAGCCACCCCAGCACAAGGGATGGCAAAACACTGTACAGCAAGGGGGAAACTGGAGAAATCAAGAACTGAAGCAACAGTATCTTTATAATGCCATAAATGTAACAATCCACTGTTTGATCACTTAAACAGTCTCCCACTGTTCTAGTGGGTCAGGAAAAACTGCCAAACTACAGCTGAGCCACGCCAGAGATTGGGTTCTGACAAACAGCAACTCTCTAAGGAAATCTCTTGTTAGATAAGGCCAGGCTAATTTCAAGTCTAGAGTCCAGCAGACAGGCAAAATTCATTGCAACTTATCCACTGCCATGGAACTGGTTTAGCTGGTTTTGTGTAACCTTTAGTTCAGTTCATCTTTAGCTCCTTCTTGCCTGAAAACAAAACTGTTTGCTCAGCACAGAGGCTTCTGTTTGTGTACGAAACGTGCATAAAAACCTGGGAACTTCCCAGCTGTGGATGGTCCTTCCTTCCTCCTCTTTCTAACAGCTGGAGGGTTTCTGGATTTAGAAGTGGCTCTCTCTCCCCCCAGGTTTTGTTTGGAAAGAAAGGATTATTCCCACTGTGAGCTACCAGGTTATTGCACTGTTGCAGAATCACATTTCACATCCATGAGAGCAGCTCCGGGCCCTGTCCCACCTGGCAGTGGATCCAAGCTGGCAGTGCCAGCCCAGGTCTCTGTCACTGTGGGAGTGGTGTCACTCTGTGTTTCACATTTCCTCCTTGAGTTGTGCCAATGTACAGGGAGTCCTGAGTTGGCCTTTTGAATTTCAGTGAAGTGGAACAATTCAAACATTACACTGAGACCCCGATATAAATGTGATTTTAGCAGGGAACCCACACAGCTCTGGACAACATTACTGCTGAGCACAGGCTGGATCCAGGTAACAGCCTGTGGCTTGAGGAGCATCTCTGCACCCTTCAGGGTGTGCAATCCCTGAGGGGAAAGGGGCTGTAGATTTTATCATAGTACCCTCAGTTTTGGATATATCCCCAGTCTCCAACTCGGGATCTTCCCCAAGGATGGCGTTACTGCAGCCACTCACCAGACTTCAGCTGCACGTAGCACTGCTTACAAAGTAAAGCCATCACAAAAATCCCTGCAGCAGTGATACAAGCCCACTTTGTCACAAGACTGACCCACTGCAGCTTCAGGGCAGAAAATGAGATGCTGTCACCTGTCACCCTTTCTCTGCATCACTTAAAATGAAGGAGCCTGAAAGCTGCTCGTGCTGCACAGCTGTGGGGCATCAGTGTAATAATGATAATGTCTGACACCACCTGAAAGACCTGAAATGATCTGTAAAACTCAGAACAAATTCTTCTTGTAGCTCAGTTTAAATTAGGTGAGAGCGAGCTGTGGTTTCACCTCCAATAGCAGCATATCATGTAGGGACAATAAAAACCAGTAGGGCAGGAGAGTTAAGCCCAGCTGTGACATAAAACTCAGAGGTGTTTACCTTAACCCTTTGCACTTAATTTCAGAAGCTTTAGGTAGATACAAGATGATCACAAAACTTCTGGAGGCAGCCTGGTGTTCCTAATCCATGCATTTAGTACTTAAGTGTTCTGCAGTGACAGGGCAGTTTCACAGATCAGCCACTGCACAGTTGTATTTTCAGTGGATTAATGCTAAAACGTTATATCAGGATTTGCCAGAGCATTCCCTCCTCTAGGAAGGATGAGTGAGACTCAAAGCACAGGCTCCAAGGCAATTCTCTTGTTAGTAATTAGGCTTTCTATGTTAGTGCAATACTTCAGGAAACCTTTCATTCTGTGCTCTTTCAATTCTAAGTAGACTTTTTGTATTAATTTGCTCTGTCCTCTAGTTCCAAGGTATGGCACATTACCTGTTCTGTCACATTAAATACATTCATTAAGCAAATGCTATCTCAGGGCTCTGAGAAGGCATCACCCATTAGAAATCATTTCATAAAGCAAAAACATTCACAGCTGAAAAATGCACTGAACACAATAGAAAAGAAAAAAAAATCACCATAACTGTATTCCATTACTCTTTCACTTTCTAATGTGTTTGAGTAAAAATAACCTCAAGGAAATGGTTACACTTTATGGAGAACTAATGTGCAGTCTTCATTCTCCTTGAAGAGGTTGGACATAACAGGGTCATCTTTGGCCTGTACATTCTTCAGGTAATAGTTGACTATCTCCCCATCCAGTTTGTACTGGTGGGGAATGCTCTCATAGGGCTTCAGGTCCAGGTCCAGCACAGAGACAGAAAAGGTGAATCTGGATTTGGATGCCAGTACCACAGATCTTTGCTCAGAGCTGGAAAACAAATCCACATTGCACATCTGAGTCACTGAAACCAGGATTTTTAATTTATGTGTCTCAAGTCCCCTTGCAAAAGTGACTCTAATGTTTATCTTAGAACTTTCATGGGAGCCCAAGAAAATAAACTGCAGCTAATGCAGCACTTAGGAAATTACAGCTCCAGCTTTAGCAGTCCTAATGGGAACTTGGTGGGATCTCTTCCAGTCCTTTTCCTTTCAGCTTCCACACAGCTGAAGTCAAACATTACTCTCAACTACTGTGCCTCTGTATTTAGTAAATCTAAGCTGTTTCTAGGTGGTGCATACAAAGCAACAGCCTTATTAACTGGCAAAAGCAGAAGGAGCCACTGCAACACCTACTTAGGTTCAAGGTAATAAAACACTTAGTGTGGGAACTGCTGTCCAAGCATGCTGAGGGATGGAGGATTTCTGAACTCAGCCATTGCACAGCTCATGTCCATCACCAACACTTCACTCAAGAACTGCAGGGCACATGCAGAAAACAATATTCTCCAAAAATACAAGGGTCTAGTAAACCAACTCCCCCCTGCAGACTATGACTGCTGACACAAGCCAAAATGGATGACATTGCAGCAAAGCCTCCTGCCTGACAGCCACAGATGTCACCTCTCGATTACTGCCTTGGTTTTACTCTAATTAGGCCATTAAAGGCAACTCAGCTTGAAAGATCTTTCATATGAGGACACCGAGGCAGAAAAACTGCACCTGTTTAAAACCACATAGAGCTACTATAAACAGTCAATTCAAAGTTCAAGAAGAGCATGAATATAAAACCTTAACCCTTTCGATCAACTTAAAACTCTTCAGAAACAGACATGGGTTCTAAGTGCCTCAAATCAGAACTCTATTAATATGTTCACAGCCAAATATTTGGACACATTCCCCCCCCAACCCCCGCACTTTTTTTAATTACTGAGTTGACTGAACTGTGCAAACAACATCTCCAATTTCTAAACAACTGGAGCCATTCCAAAGCAGGTACAGGCAGCTCTTACCATTCATCCTGCAGACAGGGGGAAAGGGCAATCATGATGGAGCAGTCTTTAGCAGTCATGGCTATTCTGTACTGCTGCACCTGTGCAACAGAGAAATAATGCACATTTTCTCTTATGCTTCTGTTTGCCTGTAGTAAAGCATCCTGTTCCTTACAGAAGGCACCAGTGTGCTCCCTAGACTGGGATGTTGGCACTGTAAGAGCTGGAAATCATCTCCGTAACAGACGGTTGGCAGGAGCAGGGGGGTTTGCAGCATCCTGTATAAGAACCATGTTTATTTCCTACAGGTGATCTTCTGCTGGCCAAACCAGCACCAGTTCATGAAAATGCTTCCTCAGTCTAGAGAGCAAATAAACAGCTTTATTTTTTTCTTAAGAACTGGTGCTACACATCTGTTTTTAACTGCTTCTGCTATAGAGATGCACCCTGGCACAAGGGAGAACTTTAACTGTCCAGATCCTGATGAGCCAGTGGTGCTGCTTCCCTCCATTATCCACCCCTTTCAGCGAGACAAGTGTTAATTAACACTGCCAGAGTGAGCCAGGTGTTAATTAACACTACCAGAGCAAACAACCCTCCCCAGAAGTACCTTTGTTAGCGCGAACGCCACTGTCCCGTCATCCTCCGTGGAAAGATCCAGCAGCTTCTCATAAAACGCCTCATTGTAAGGTCCATCTATCTGTAATGTACTTCTAAATAAATGTTAAAAGAAGATTTATAGACAG